TTTTTTTTTATTTAAGTTTAAATATTCTATCTCCTTCAACAAGTAAAAAAGGAGTTTGATCAACAATTTTCAAACATTTTGTTCTTTATTTTAAGCTAGTAAATATTATAATTTAATTTTCTTCTCATCGTTTCTTTTATAAATAGCTTCAAATACAAATTATTCTGGTATTTAATTATAACTTATTCAATATTTGGTTATATTTATAAAGAGAGAAAACACATCAACAGATTAAGAAGGTTCACACTTTAATATAAAAATAACAATTGAACAATTGATTAATATCTCCATCCTTCTCACAAATACATAAGGTTCTTTTATTATAAAAAAAAATTATACATATATTGTTTAATAGATTAATTTAGCTCATTTCTTCAAACAGAATATTTCCTCCCTTATTCTTTAATAATGCTTGGCTATTTAATGATTTCTATTGATTATTCTTATAAATTAATATTTAATTCTTATCTTGAGATTACGCCTTAAGAAGTAGAATCAAGCAAATATTTAAAAAGCAATCGATAAATATAAAGCTTTACATCTATATCTGTTTTACAATGAAACAGTCAAATATCTTTGTCTACTATCAAGTAATCCTCAAAAGTTTGCACTTCTTAAGCTATTTTTAGCCATAGGAATTGAACTAAAAAAGTGTATTACAAATTTGTTGGATTATGTGTCTTAAGAAAATTAAAATGCAATAATAATGGGATCACTATAAATTCTTTCTATCTTTAATAAAATAAAGGAAAAATAATAGTTTAAATTCCTAACTTAAGTATTGCTTAGAGATAAATATGATGTTAGAGAGAGATGTGTCATTTGTTAGAGTTTAATTAATATAATGATTATCTAAAAATAAAATTAAACAATAGAATTGTATTTTTATTAATTTTATGAACTAAATCCATTTTGAAGAATTAATAGAAGAACTAAACCTAAATATTACTAAGATATTGAAGATACTTATACAAGGAGAAATTTTAAAATTAGATAAAGCTATTCAGGTATTGGAGGAGAGAGTAAAATATTAAAAAATAGTTAAGCATACTTAGGTTGAAACTAAATTGAAGAACAAAGGAATAAAGATTATTATTTAGAAGAAGAGAATAAATAATACAAAGAAAAAGATAATAGGATTAATTTAAAGTCAATAACATAGAAGGTTAATTATTTTAACCTAAAAAAAAAACGATCTTAACAATATCATTTAATAAAAATAGGATATATAATATTAATTTTTCAAATAACTACATGAATATTAATAATAATATCAAGAAAAATAGGCATATTTATAAGATAACTAATAATTAAAGTAGAAACTTCAATATAAATAAAAAAATGTTATTAGAATAATTAATTGACCAGTTAAAGTGAAGTAAATAAAAAAATATAATAAACGGGCCTAATGATGAATAATAAAATGAACAAAATTTAATAAATGTCAAAAAGCCATAAAAATCTTGCTAACTTTATCAAAGATTTAACAACAAACTTTAAACTTAATTTTTTAATAATTGATTAATATAGTTTGCTGGAATAGACACAAATCAAAATTTAAAAAAAATAAAGTTAATCAAGAAGATAGCGTATAATAAATATTGAATAATTAAAAGTAAAGTGATAAAAAGAACTAAATCACCAAAAGTTGACTTTTAAGCTAACTTCCTTAAAAAGATTTGGAAAACTTTAAGTTTTGTGTGGAAAAAGTGCTTGATCCTGTTAAAGATCTTATAAAATGTGACTTATATCTCTCAAAGTATAAAAGATAAAAAAATTTAGTGTCTCATTGGAAGAACAGGCATTTAGAAGAGTACAATAGCTTTATCAATAAGAAATAGTGATGAGTGAAAAATAAAACATCAATGATTTTTATATTTAAAAAAAATAATTATTTGATTTCTAATTTTTTTAATACTCAAATTTTATTTGCATTTTATATTTCTATCAAGATTAATAAATAAAGCTTTGTTATTTATTACTCTTTTGAATAAAATTATTAAATTAACATAATACAATATTAAATGATATTTTTAAGTTTA